GAATTAAAGAAAAGAGCTTGCAGCTGTCGGTGCTATGTGGAAATTAATGCAAATGACGCAAATGGATGTTATCCGCTTCGCTCGATGGAGAGAATTGGGTGTTTCAAGAGTAATTATTTATTTTTACATGTTAACATACGTATCAGACACCGAAATCAGACCTTAGATCAATATTATTAAAATTTAGCGTGTGGATATCTCCCTCCACCAGGTGTTCTTAAACTACTTAAAACTCCCTTTATTCTCTTGGAATCTGACGACCGTCTTTTTGCATATCGCGTCTTTAACAGACGCATCCTCTCTTGTTGTAAATATACCTAAGAGGGTTATGAAAACCTGTTTTCGTTGTTTTTCGATATTGTTTGTAATCAAAAATTGCGTCTGTGATCAGTGTTCCCTTTGGATTCTTTACGTTCCAATTCTTGAGAGGGACTATGAAATAAAGTGGAGCATTCCTAAACTTGGCCAAGTAGATTTAAAATAAGTTAACTAATATCAGAAGAAAACTTCGAGTCATTATTTCCGATATTTACTTTCATTTCTAAGTAAGAAAATTGGTTTGAGTTGCATGATCAAGCTTTAGGTAATTCCTTACGTTAATGATGCTTGATTCATATGTCCTCATTTGTTCTCGAGGTTCCAAGGTCTTTAACACACTGGCAGTTAGGCCTTCTTTGGTATATGCATTCTTCTAATTGCGGATAAGCTTCAGGGTAAACAAGGATGTGGACGGGGATGATGGGGAATTTAATAGTTTGTTAGGTCTAATTACTACTATTCTTTCTCTAGCCATTATTTCCTTCCAGATGTGTCCCAGCGTTTAATCATAAAGCACAATAGATGAGCGCGCGCAGATAAATTCTCTTGTTGTTCATTGCACTCACTCGTGAGTGTTGAACACGAGACAGGAAATTCCATATCTACAAGGAACCATCTATTCTTTTGTTTCTCATATAAACACCATATGCATTTAATGACAAAAATAAATTCAACAAACAACCTTGGATTGAGAAAAGTAAACGCACTTTGCACCAAAAAATTTTTATCATCCATCTTTGAAAAAGCAAAAAAAAAAAGGAGTTTATCAAGGATTATTTTCTAAATAACCTGGCTAAAAATGTTTTTGCATAAGGGTTTTAATGAATGAAAAAACTACTTCGATCACTTCCCCTTGAGTAGCATCTACATCTGGATATGTAAATCATTATAACGTCCATTTAAAAACTACAGGTACTTGACGCGAATGACAAAGGATTCTCGGAAGGAAAGTAATTTTTTTTTTCAAACAAATGTTAAGGGAAGCGAACTGATCATTAAAGTTCAAACAATGCGAAAATTTACAGGACTACTACGACTTTGAGAGAACGTAGAGTAGAAAATAGAATTAGAAATTAAATTTTTTACAAAACAGGTTCATCTCCAAATGTTTCCTAAACCCGAAAGCTAACTACTGCGAAATGTGATGGAAAATTGAAACAGATCGAGTTACCAAATTCTACTTACGAACAAAAACTTAAAAATAGAAATTGAGAAGAAATAAAAATAGACTGGCACATATTCTGGCTTCTTCATTTCATCTCTTTATAGTTATGGTGCATATCGTAAAATCGTACAGGGCATTCTTATGAATTCTCCGGAGCGATATTATTTTGGGGGATATAGGACAAAACCCGTAAAGAAAAGCCACCCGTCAATCTTTTTTAAGTTTCTTATCTAAGTCATATTGTAGAAGTTATAAAAAAATTGCATTTGATAATCACCTATGGCTATTAAGACCTGTTATCTGAAAAGAGGAAATTATGCTAATGCACATTGAGACGTGCCATTATTTCCTGACATCACGCAGCAGATTAACATTCGGGTAAAAAATTGTTTTTACCGATAAATTCAGTATAAATGTGATAAATCGACCTTTTCCCAGAAGATAAGTAAATTTGAAACGGAAAAACCCTAACAATATACATCTCAGACGGAGAGTACTCAAGTTATCTTTTCTTTCTTAATTGTTTACAGTCGTCTGAGAAATAACACGGCAAAAACTATTTTTCCTCTGTGAAAAGCATTGGCATTTGAAGTTGACGAAAAAGTTTAAGAAATGTCTTTCTAAAATAGTAGTTATTTTTGATAAGTGGCAAAGGAACGAATTTTCAAACTAAAGAAACTTTACAAGTTGTACATTTATTTAAATTCTTCCATTAATCCAATCATACTTTGGTGAAATTTTTGAAGAGAGCATTTTAAACTATTCCTTAAAAACTTTTGCATCAATAGCTTTCTTTAGAACTAGTTAAATACTTTCATATTCCAGCAATGTTCTGAGGTAAAACAGATTTCTCTGAGATGGTCGAGAGCAGTTAAAATCTACCTCCGTTCAATGAAAAGACATCAAATTCCTTTTACTAAACTACAATGGAGCTTAACTTAACAGTGTAATACGTGCATGTTCTTGAGAGAGGAGAGATGGGAATGTAGTATTTTTCAGTTGCATAATTCGTAGTTGTCGAAGTTGCTTGTGTTTTGCATCTTATATGTAACTTTCTGAGTAAGATACGCTTAAAAAACTTCGTTAAATACCCATTATTTTACCGAAATAAGTGCCAACCATGGGTGGATGTTGAACGTGGCTGTTTTCGTTTCTTTGTTTATTTTGTAACTTTTATTCTCTCTGTGTCGGCAAAGAGAATTAAAATTTGGAATCATACTTGCCTTTTTCAGCCTTATAGATCAGGGTATAAGTGATGTGGTCCAGTTAAGCTTATTGAACACCAAGTGTCAATGAAAACATAACTGTAAAAACTATCGGAAAATGAATTTTTGTCCAGATATTAGTATTAATACAATTTTAGCACAGACACCAGTTATGTATCTCTACTGTTCTCCAGCAGTTTAAGGACTACATTAATCCTGATGGAACATAACTCACAAGTACTCTAGAATTACTAGTGACTGTCTGGTACAAAATTATTCATTAAAAATATTTTCCATTCTCATTCTCCTAGGATGTAAATTAGCAAATAAATTTGTTTAAGGTCTAATTTCATTTCTCTAGGGGCATTCATCGGTGCTAATCCATTCAGTCTATCCTGGACCATTGTATTTCTCAAATAAGTCTTCAGATTTCAGAGGGTTGAGATGGACCTTTCACAAGACGCCGATGAAATAGGAACGCTTATCAGGATTTGAAGTATAGTACATATATTCACATAAGCACCCTTCTCAATTTGTTCTAGGGTAGCATCTATACTGTCAGGGATGTCTTCTCTTCTATCATTTTTTCCCTTCCACATTTTTTCCCACCACAAATCCTTATCCTGGGCATGCTTGGCTATACTGAAACATGTCTTGCTAGGGTAACAGCTTCTTCATAGAGAGTGTGGTGTCTATTATCAATCTCAGTTTGCATAGCTCTTAAGGCAGATTTTAACAGAACAATTTCCTGTTTGCTTTGAGAAGATACATTGCTTTCTTTTGTAGCCTAATCGTGAGTAGTCAGGTTAAGTCTAAAATGTGTCTCACAATAACAAGAGTAATAATAAAGGAAAGTGTGATTGCATTAATTAAGGCTTGTGCATCATTTCTACTGTTTCAGTTGATTCCAGTTCTCATGGCTAGCAGTATTTCTGTTCATTTAAATGTCTTCAAGTGTAGCCAAAACTGGGTGAAGAAGCTCCACAATTCAGTCCATACCATCAATGTGCTCAATCCACCTTGTTCGACACACATTTACTAGAACATAGTGGTTGACAGCAGGCATCAATACTCTAATCTTGCTGATCAAAGAGGGTCTGAATGGGGGTACTTCGATAACACTAAACACTTATTTTTTGGCTGTATAACATTAAACAGGTAATTTTTAGCCATTTTAACACTAACATTAAAAAATTCGTTGTAACATTATTTTTTTTTCCCATAAACAAACAAACCGAGCCCTAAAATGAGAAATATCTATGTTGGGCCTATGTTTATTGTATCAAAGAGGTTTTTTTGGTCATTTTCTAACAATTCGGGATTATTTCAAGACTTCCGAAGAGTGAGGAAGATATCCGAAAGCTGCCGAAGATGTCCGAAAGCAGTCGAAGATGTCTGAAGGCAGCCGAAGATGTCCGAACACTGCCGAAGATGTCCAAAGACTGCTGAAGATGTCCAAAGACTGCCGAAGATGTCCACTGAGACTGCCAAAGATGTCCACAAACTTATGACCGACGATATTTGAAGACTACCGCAGATTTGGCTTGTATAACTCATAACAGTTCTATTCTTAAAGCGCTTTTACAGCGAGGATACACCAACCATGACCACTTAGAGAAAATATATCAGTAACAAATCAGATTACGATGTTCAAATCAAAAAGCCAACGGGATAGAACATCGAAATAAACAGTAACATTAAGCAAATTTACGGATTGTCATCCGTTGTATGAATACCTCAATATGATTGGTTAGCTTTGTGAGATGGTCCCAGTTGAGATATCCGCACTGTAAACAAAAAGAGATAATTACGAAAATTGCAAAGAAAATGAAAGTTAACATGAGTGAGTGTTTAAATTTGACTAGTAATGATTGCAATAACAGAATATTTCTTTTACCAAGAAGATCGGCTACAGTACTCGCAATGTATAATGGTCAACAAAAATGAGACATGTCATTCCATCCTGGACAAAAACATTTAATTATATTCCATACCTGAATAGTCCTGATTGTCCTGATAGTCCTAATTGTTTCTAGAGATCAAGGCGGAAATGAGCGCGGGTAGTGCAACCAAATCTTCTGAACGTTATGTCTGTATCATTGTCCGCATCGCCCTCTGAGTCGGTGTCGAATTCATCCTCTTGCTCGGGGAGGTCTCTCACGTCACCAACTGCGACAACTCCGAGCATGCTTTTGTCAACGAAGGTGATTCTCGGTACTTCGTTTGTAGCTCGTGGAATATTTGTATCCTGGTCGACTCGTTCTTCATTGCCTGTCCCTGGATCGTCTTGAACATCCTCTTGAAATGTTACTCTAGTACACGATGGCGAACTGGAATATACAGCTGGCGGCTGGGTTCCCGCTTTGTCTTTTATTGACTCGCTTCTTACCGTCCTTTGCCTGACAGGTCGATACCTGTCAACCAATTCCTTCATGGCTACCTCAATGTTGGGATCAACGTTACCAGCTGGAGAGGCTTTCATCAATTCTACGTCCCGTAGCTCCACACCGGATTTAGGCACTGGGTAATAAGACTTCTCAAGTGTGAAGTACTTCGCACCCCACTTCGTTGTTCTCTTTAAAGATTCCTTTGAAATTGTTCCAAAGTCTTGAGCATGCTGAAGAGCAGTGAAATTCTCGTTTTTGAAGTGGGAGACTGCATGAAAATTCTTTACCTGAGTTGTTAGCAGCGTACGCAGGTTAATGTCATCAAGATAGTCCTCGTTTTCATTCTTAACGTTATCTCGTAGCTGTTCCATGCCTCGTTCGAGAAGTACTAATGACTCCTGTGTTTTGCTGGAAACAGTTCCTTCAGGGCCATTTGTTGCTGCCGTTTCTTTCATTTTATAATGCTGCCTTACTTCAGCGACTGTGTTTTTAAAATAAGCATTTACAGATGAAACATTGCACACAGCATCTTGAAGAGATAATTGGACCGCGTCGATCGTACGTGCACCAATTCCAAAAACTATCATGGAGACATCCGAGGTTGCGAAGAAAGGACACTGTGTCAGTAAGCCCCGAAACTAATTTGATTGTTCCAGCAGCTATATCAGAAACAAAATAGTGTTCTGCAAGAAACAGATTGCATGAACTTGTTTAAATGAGCAGCTTTCTTCAGTTCCATCAGCGGTTCCTTCATGGCCAGTACCCAACAAGGTCTCGACTGTTGCACTTAAGGGATTAAGGGTCTTACCCTTTTGTTATTTGTTGTCGGTGAAAACAATGTTGCCCTCATAACCATCCAGCCTCTTAATTTCCTTGCAAGAATCTGAAGAATTCCGCAAGAGTCGCTTAACATTGACAGAATCCAGATTACAACCATATAACCCTCCAGCTGCACCAGTTGCAGCCAAGTATGCTGATTGCCACAGAACATAAAGAGATTCAACACTTGTCACGTCATTGGGGTAGTTTATCTGCCACAGCCTACTACTGATGATAGCCACTCCATTGTACTCTAATTCCAGCTGCATTATGCTTCTCTGCTCATCATCTGCACACAAGAGGATATCCTTACTTGCCTCACAGATGGAAGTTGGTTTACTTCAAGCTGGGTTAATCTGAACAATTTCTTTATTCTCGACTTGTGCAGCTAAAGATCTCAGATGTGTCTTCAACCGCTTCCGTAGAACTGGACCTGTACCCTCAAGTGACAAGCTGAAACGACTTAGCTGCGAAAGCAAATCAGCTCGCGATTTTAGGCGTTTGGGTTTTAAAAGTACTTCGCCTTTAAATTCAATGAAATGGATTGCTGACGAGCCTTTCTCTGCAACGAAGACTATGCCATTGGTAAAGCATAGGTCCCGCGCATACTTGAATACTTCCTTCCGAACATTTACATCGACTGGTCGGTGTAAACGCAGTTCTACGAGACGAGACTCTCGAGAGTCGAAATCATAGTCTAACGCCAGTACTTTGTCTTGGGGCCCAATTTCAAGTGCAAGTGGTATTTTACAAACACCTCTTTGGTTGGATTTACAGAAGCGATACTTTTCAGGAACTATTGTGTGGATTACCAAACGTATCCCCCTAAGTACATCTTGTACTGAGGGTCTGGTAAGGCGCACTATCGGTTCTGAGGACAAGAGCATTTCAGCTTTAGCTCACTGTTCGCGAGTGATTTTCTTGATTTTCTTACAGAATTTAAAAGGGCAGATAAAATTTGAAAATGCTAAAAAAAAAAATTCGGAGCGTTAGCCCTTCGTCAGAGCGATTAGAGGAATTGTGGGTTGTGTGTGAATTTATATGTAGGAAGTGGAGCTACGCCATTGGTGGGAATGTGGTGACGAGAAAACAGGAATAAATTAGTGGAATGAAAAGCGCTCGTTGATTCCGTGGGGATTAAGGGTGCCGATTTGGAATATAAATTTTTGTTCTAGTGTTTTACGGCTTTCCGAACTGCATAGATGTAAGGAAAGGCCGCAAACTGCCATATGCTGTTTAGAATGAGAAGGAAGATTAAAGTGTCTAGCGACTGGTTTGGATGCGTCCTTGTCATTTCTTTCCACATCGCGAAGGTGTTCTCGGAATCGGTCACCCAGTCGTCTTCCTGTTTCGCCGATGTATAACTTATTGCAATGAGTGCAAGTTATGCAGTAAATAACATTGGCGGAGGTACACGTAAAGTGATAAATGATCTTAATGGATCTTTTGGGTCCCGATATTTTCTCTACGTTATGAATGAAAGGACAAGTTTTGCATCGTGAGCGAGCGCATTTAAAAGTTCCAGATTGGTCATTGGTTTGAAATGAACTCCTGACTAAAAAGTTGCCTATGTTTTTGTCACGTTTGAATGAAATAAGTGGGGGTTGCGAAAAGATAGTGCCAGTCTCTGAATGGTTTAAAATTTAAAATTTTTTAGAATGATAGATTTAACTGCGTGGTTGTGAGGGTGAAATGTAAGAGTAAATGGAATGCGGTCAGTGTTCTCATTCTCGGCCGTTTATAGTGCTGCCTGTCGATCGATTTGTTCGGCACGGTGGTAGCCCGCTTGAACGACAGAAACAGGATAGACGCGTTTATCGAAAAACTGGCACATTGCCTCTGATTTTTCGGAAAAATCAGAGTCGTCACTACATAAACGACGAAGTCTGAGAAACTGTGAAAAAGGTATGGAGTTCTTGACGTGTGATGGATGTGAGGATGAATACAACAAGTAACTATGAGAATCTACAGGTTTGTAGTAAACACTAGTACATAAGCCGTTGCCTTCAATTGAAATTTTGATGTCTAGAAAAGCCAAAGAAGTGTCGGAAATTTCCCAGGTATATTTAAGAGCCGGATGAAAGGAATTGACGGCGGTTATAAATAGAGTGAGCTCCTCTTTGGTAGAGGAGGTAGCGCCGATGCAATCGTCAATGTAGCGGCCGAAAGTTCAGAGCGGCAATGCAGAATTTGTTCGGTGAGTTTGTTACGTTTTTGGCACATAGCTCTGATTGTGATTCTCATAATGTTACGTGAAAAAGAATTTTGGGCGCACTGAATTTGGTGACGATATTGATTCGAATGAGAAAAAGAAGATGTGTGAAAACTGGAGCGAAAACCCTTAGGAATAACTTTGGAATGAAGGCAACGGCTGATGAATTGGATGTGACTACAAAACCTAGTTTTGGCGAAAATGAGAACGGCTAAACGGAATGCTAGATCTTTACTAATAGGGGGGAAAGGAAAAGGTAACTTACGATTTCCTGGTGTAGCTCCTTGGTAAGTTTCTTCAAGCTTGGCATGGTCCGTTGCTGTGAGATCTGTAGATAGAAAAATTCTAAGGCAAGAGTTAGTGGTCGCAGCAAATAAATGACAAATGATATATATCTATGTATAGGACTAAACTAATTTAAAAATTATTAGATTGCAAAGAACTAAACACTCGTTTATTAGTGTCTTTTGTTTTTGCCCTTTGGGACTTTTGTACGTTAGTTCGTCGTGTGTGCGGAATGTACTTTAGCGTGTTAGGACGTGTAAGCCTTTTCGGGTCATTTTTTTCGCTTGCCATTTCCAAGAGGTCATTTTTCGCCCTATGGCAGCCAGATTGCACGTTACAGTTAGTCGCCGCTCCAGTGCAGTTTTTTCCCAGCTCTTAACAAATGTAAGTGTCGCTTTGGTCCAACTTTCCGTTGCGTTTTAGTTCACTTTGTAACGTTCTTTTCTTTGTTTGTATTTTAGTTTTAACCGCTTTGAACAACCGCAACTACAACATCGTTTCTTAAATAAAGCGCGTTAATACAATGCTGGAGTGTTTGGAGTGTTTAGTCCACTGTTGGAAGTTGTAAAGATAATTAAACATATTTATCGTCTTAAAAAATAAACAGGGTTATAATCTTGTTTAAAAAGATACGTTTTTAAACGTCTTTTAAAACTGTCAATCGAAGAACTAGATCCTATTCCAAGTGGGATCGAATTCCATAGTCTTGGTGCCACCACAAGAAACGTTCTCTCTCCACAAGTCTTCAGTCTCGCTGTCGGGGTTGACAGAGGGTATTGAGAAGAGGACCTTATTGTCCGTTTAGAGGATCAATAATTAAGGGAGTCACTGTTGCAGCAAGGCACTGCACCATTGATAGCTTTGTAGACCAGTGAAAGAATTTTACAAACTATACAGTGACGGACAGGGGGGTCATGTGATCAAATTTTCTAATACGTGTAACAACTCGAGCTGCTGTATTTTAAATGGATTGCAATTTTGAAAGTAGATGCTGAAGTAGACCATAATTTATAGCAGTGAGTTGCAGCTATCTAATATTGAAGTAATAAAGGCGTCAACAGCAACTTTGGCACTTTCTTCTTCAATGTACTTTCTAATTTGGGCGACTACCCACAGGCTATGGACATGACATTTCAAACATGGCGTATGTTTCCCTGGCTAATTATTTTGTAATGGTGTTTACAAATTGTGGGAAATGGTTGGGATGAAATATAATACAACGACTTGTCAGTAGATAGTCAAATGAAAAATTTTTACATATCAATAAAATTTATTGTTGTGTTTCATGTTAACATGTTGAAACAACTCTACCTTCCAGTAAATTCAGAACAGAGGAGGTTGAAACGCTAGGGGAAAAACAGTTGAGCAAGCAGTCATACCTGGCAACTTCAAGAGGAGATATAAGAGAAGCCCATACGATTCTGGCGTCTTGATTTACTAATTCACTGTTATCACTTCTATACTCTTCAATTGACGGGTGATGTCTAAACTCGAAGTAGTTTAACGTCGTTTCTTTCAATTTTAGCTCATTTTCGTAAACCAAAATTATCAGTCACGCTCGAAGCGGTATAATTCCAATTGATGCTGACATTGCACACTTCCCCTGAAGAAGAAAAGATTCCCTATCTTCAAAAATTTGTTCAAAACATCAGGAACAACAACAAAGGTCCTTAGCTGCTTGAAGATACCGCTGACTAGCATGCGTTTTGCAAGTTGTGAGAACGTCGTCCCCAGGTTCCAGACCTCGTCAATTCTTCCCTTCCCTCCCCATTCCCCCGGACCAGTCTCTTAATCCCCTTGAAAAAACTCTTCTACAGCCAGTGCTCTGGAGTTTTATTACTTTTTTTATTGTAATGAGGGGCTAGAAAATAAACCAACAAGAGATCCGCCTTTAGGCTTGGCTAAATCTATATATTAAGTTTGAGTATTCCCATTACCTATTTCTTGGATAATGAGTGGATTTTGTAGGGAGAAGAAACTGGTTAATCGCCTCTGGGAATCAAAGGGTTAACCAGCCTGGGTTGGCTATACCACATTTATAACTATCCACGCAGGTTGTTGGAGTTCCAGTTCCTACAGCTGTCACGAAACGGTACATCCCTCGGAAAGTTGTGTGTCACAGAACACTGGACCATTTAGCGGTGTATAGTTAATGGTACTTCCTAAAGTTCGGAAACCCCTCCGATGATTATCGATTACTCACCTGAAGGAATATGATAAACCTTGCGCTTCAACAACACTAGCGAGAGTACCTTTAACCACAACAAAAAGATAAAGTGGAATCGGTTTTGTTTACTGACATCCGGAAAGTGATAAGTCATTTTCTCATGTAATCTTAAACTGATTACATGTAGAGAATTTGAATTGCAGGCGTTAAGAAGGTTTGGTCTTTGGGAAAGTCAGTGTAGATTTTCTAAAGTGCAGCAAAGACATGCAAACCTCTGATTACTTAGACGTGCTATTTTTCATAGGCTCATTGTCAGTTATAACTAAAGCAACCAGAGTAACAGATCATGTCTTACCTTTACTGGTTACATCCACACAAATAAGCCTGAAAAGGTTGTTAAATTAGGTTTTAACTGGTCGTCATTTGGAACCTCTTTTTGGTGTTGTTTTGCCTTTTGTTAGAATGGCTGGTGTAAGAGCTACTAGCGTAGACATCATTAAGATTTTACCCATTTCACCCATTTATGATTTAATCGAAATAAGGAATAATATAGTCCTACAATTTTAAACTATTTTATTAAACAACTTGTAATAATTCTTTTTTCAGGAGCTACTCCTATAGGCAATACAATAATTGTCCTTTAAAAACTTACTTAAGCCGGCCCCCTATAAACTACAATTGAGCTCTCTACTGACACCGAAGACTTACCCTTGCCTCCAAATTTCCTTAAATACACAATCTTTGAAGTATATCACAGTACTGAGCTATCTCTTGGTAGAGCTTCCTTGATAGTTGGTCTTTCCCGACAAAAGAAACTGCTACTCCTAATTTACCGAGTCCTTACATACATTCACAGCGTATTTCAAAACATTCCCGAATTCGAAGCTTACAACACAACTATTGTGGTAGAAATACATCATAATTACATAACCTACTTGACTGCTCTTGTTTTCCATGCTCTTTCATCAGAAAGTTTGAGTAATGATTTCATAGTGACTAAAAATTATAGAAATTATTTACAGTCTCTACCCATAACACACCTGAGGTGCTTTAGTCTCTAACGATCTGAGTAAACATCAAGAGTTTAACCCTTAAGTAAGAAGCAAAATACAATGCTCAAAGTTGTGCTTAAAACTTACTTTGTGGATCTCTTCGATTGGAATAGATAGAGATGATATTAAGATTACCTCGAAGCTCACTGTGCCCGTAGTTGTCGACATTAGCTGGAGGATAAACAAAACTTGTTCAGTAGACTCTGATGATGATTCCGCCGAGGTCAGTCACTGTTACTGACTACCTTCAGTCACAAGTTCTCGTGAGTACTCTTACTTGGAAGATCAAACTATGCGGTCCAATGGTACTCTTGCGTTGAAACTACTCACTGTTTAACACTTATCATAAAAGTGGATCATGTAAAATTCTTAGTCCCTGTTATCATTGATATACATATGCATGCCAATAAATTGATTTGTGAATCCTTTCAGTGTGGATAATGACTTGCTTATATCATTCAGTCTGTGCTGCAGTAGCGCAGAGGACAAGTAGGTGGCTTTAGAAGTTCGTATACAAAGTAGGATCCGCAGTCTTTAACATTAATGTTTATTGATTTTTTGCAACAATCTTCATCTATGTTGAAGCAGACCTGGGAGGAAACCTCACCATCCGCCAATCTAGGGTGACCACCTTTTAGCCAGCCTGAGGAGGCCGTACCACATTTCCACCGCGGTATGCACTGGGTTGGCATTTTTGTTCCCGCATCTCCCACGAAACGATACCATTTCCCGAATATTATGGATGGGGAATTGCCGTCACATTTTTCTCCACCATATGGTGTGTCGTAAGTGCTCTTTCTGTCAGCATCGCTCAGGTTGCTGTAATTATAGCACGGATCAGCTAAAAAGTTGAATTTCGGTTAATGCGATGTTATATATATTTTTCTTTACAAGAAAGCTTAAGGAAAAAAAATTTAAACTGCGGTGTTTTAAAAGGATTTCCCGATCGGGAAAATTCGTAACAGCACGCGTACAATATTACAATATTTTTTTTTACATGCGTTTGACATCGCCAGTCAACTGTGTGAGGTTTATAAATGAATGGCAAGGCGTTGACCGTTCTCAATCCAGAGTCGCTTGTCAAGATTTTCTCGGATTATGGCTGCTTTTAAGCTTTAAAAAGGTTTAAAAATCACAGGAAAAAAAATCATATTTCTAATAGACACTGTCGTTCAAAATTTCCTTGGAGCGGAAGTAAAACAAAATAAGTGAAGAAAACCGAAAGTTACTTATTTTACCTGGGTAATGGTATTTCTCGCGGTTGAGAACAAAAATCGACAATTGGAAGATTTGCCACAGGCTGATTTTGGCTGTGTACATGAAAATAGTTCTTCTTTTGGTAAGGAAAAGGTCATTAACTGAGAATTCTGTGAAAAGAAAATTACTCCCGTTGTCTGTTTCTGTAATGGTTCGACGCATTTTTTTCATCTTGAGCCTTATCACAGACGCACTTTAAAGTTTTTTTTTCGCGGATTGTGAAACCTATAATTTCAATATATGGAGGTCGACTTTTCTTCTCACTAAAGGCCTATTGTGTTCATATGATACACAAAATAACACACGGTTGCTTGCAGTTATGGAACTTCTCTTCTCGCGTTCAACTCGATACCAAGAGATTATAACAGTTTATATTATCTTGCTCGACACCTTATTCGTTCGCTGCTTTCACACATGAGATAGCGTGTTGAACACTCGAAGAGAAATTCCATATCAACACGCACCCATGTATTATTCTCTATGTGGCCGAGTAAAAAAAATGGCCGAGTTTGTCTTGAAGCCTCAATGTAAAATCCCTGAAAAGTTACCATATTCAACGAATTTCAATGCTTGTCTGTGGCTCGATCGCTCAGCGATCGGTTTTCATTCAGCCCCGCAATCATCGACTGCTGACCACAGAAAAGGTTGTTGATGAATGTAAAGCCATTAAACCTGTTAATAAGTGCTCCCGCAAAAATTGCCAAGGGCTAGAATTATTTGACCGTGAAAAAGTTTGCTGTGTCGAAGTGGAATTGCACTGTAGTATATAATTTTTCTTCGAACAGAGTAAATATGCCTGGACAACTTCGTTGGGAGTCGATTACTGCTTAAGCAAAAGAGAACCTTTTTTCCGAGTTTACACACTCTCATCTAAATACAAAAGGAGGTTGGGAGAATTTTAGAAAGTTATGCAAACCCAAAACGCACCATAAATTTCGAGAAATATCCCAGCCTCCCGGGTGTTCAAATGAAAGAATCTAAACAAAGGAAAAAATACCCTATATATTTTAGGCATATTTCTCCAATAAAATTGCAGAAGAAGGTAAATGCTGTTTATTTATAGCTTGACTGATATCCATTTTCTCAATACATGCTCTGGACGATAGTGTTTCATAATAGCCAATCACACTGCGCATCTTACTGACACATGAACCCAGCACCGTGCTAATAAAACTATTTCAGCTTTAAATTCTCGTAAATTTGCCAGAAAGTGTTTGAAATATACGACTCCTTAAGGATAGAACTTCAAGAGGAGGAGTTTGATAAAGTTAAAAATGAGTGTCACTGTAATCTACCGTTTTTTAAATTGACGAAACCTTGCCCGATTTAACAGCCCAAAAACATGATTGAGGAGTTGAATCGCTCATCGCGCCTTGTAAAGTTTTACTGGTTAGCACAGCTTTGCTCGAACCTTTTCCAGTGACTAAAAAATTTTTCTCCCTTCCGTTTAAGTCACCTTTAGCCTTGCTTTAGGTGTTGTTGGATTTCTGCCTGCAAAAGTCTTCAATTTCGACTTCATACTTTGCTCGTAGCTTCGTCGGCTTGACTCAAATTTGCCTACATTTTCCTTATTATCTTTGTCTGCTTTCTAATTTTAGGCAAATATTGTTCGATTAAATACCATTAAATAAACAAAACAAATTGAATCTTGCTATCAGTCTAAAGGTGATTCGTCAGTATTGTATTGAACGTCCTGTACTGGGCATAAAAATCACATAATAACATGAATAAGCACGCTTGCATTCCGAGAACACAGCATTGTTTTTCAATAAATGGACCAAGCAAAGAGTTAGCTCTGTACGAGCACGGTGACCTCTGTTTTTCATTGTATAATTTGCAGGAGGCGTGCTCATCACAGATATTCATTTGTGAACACTCGTCGATGTCTGATGGGGATCAAACGCACCACGTTACAGCCCACAATTGGGTGTTAAGATGAAAAATGTTTTGGTTGATCAATATACAATGAACGCCTGTACAAAATACTGCAAACCTAATCTCAAAAGATTTTTGGACAAAGTGAAATAATCCACCATTTCTAATAAGGGTGAATTATGGAGTAGAACTACATTTTAGGATAAATGTTTGACTACTTCTGGCATCATAATTTGAGTTAAAAGGACGTTTTAGATTACTCTCCGCTTTAAATAACTGGGATTGAAGGAAACTTTTTACAATTACCCCAGCAAGATTTTCCATCTCCCGTGTATCCAGTGTGGCATGTACATACATGTGATCCAATGGTGTTGGTACAGTTAGCATTCACATGACAAGAAAGATTTTTTGCACATTCGTCAACATCTGAAAAATGAAAGGCTTTCAATCACGATTCTTGGAGTATGATACATGTATAAACCCCCTTATTTTGATCATTAAGTGCGAGAGTTGTCTCCAGAGAGTTTTTGGTCACTATGTTTTATTAAAGAGAAAGCTGGTCAACGAAAATGTTCAGCATTTTGTCATTAGCTTTAAATAGCTGGGACTGTATGCATAGAAATAGGAGCTTTGAAGATTGTCTCTCTTCGATCAAAAAGGACTTTTCTGAGCATTGAATGAAACTTATTAAAATCATCTGAGCAAGTCTGTCCATCTCCAGTGTATCCTGTGTGGCATGTACATACATGTGATCCAATGGTGTTGGTACAGTTGGCATTCACATGACAAGAAAGATTTCTTGCGCATTCGTCGATGTCTGAGAAATGACAGGCTTTCAATCACGATTCTTGGAGTATAAAAACAAACAAACTCACGCAAACTAACATTTCTCAAAGTCATAACGAGGCAATTACCTGTGCAGTTCCGTCCATCTCCGTTAAATCCAAATAAACAGGTGCACACAAAAGATCCATTTGTGTTTTTACAAGAAGCGTTCAGGTGGCAATCGTGAGTGTTTTTTTGGCATTCATCAATATCTGAAAAAATGGGAAAGAAAGGAAAAATTCTACAACGGTAGTGATTACACGAGTGAGATATACATTGTCTTTTAAACTCTTATGAGATGAAAAAGCATTTCGTTAGTTATCATTGTGACAGATTAATTTTTCATTTAGATTAAACCAAAACTTCCACTGCAACGGAATCTCTCTCTAGACACCATTCCAAACTGTAGCTGGAAATCAGTCGTCAAAGATCAGCCTTGGTAGTCCTCCGTTAAGATACGCACTCGACGGCCAAACGTGATATATAAATATGGCGGTTTAAATACTCCAGGATATATTGTGTTCTTATCGGTCTATTCTGTAATTAACCTTTTTCGCAATGTTCTCCTTCGAATCCAGGAGGGCACGAGCATCGATATCCCTTGATTGTGAAACCGGACTGACAAGTTGCATTATTTTGACAAGGTGGGTTTTTACCGCAGGCGTTCTGAAAAGAAAAAACAAAAAAATAATAAAGAAGGAAGATCGATTTATTGAATAATTGATACATGAATGAACGAACTTAAGTTTTGCTAAACGTCGGTTGTTTTCCACGATTCATCACCGAGTTGCTGAATTTGAATTATACCTTATTTTTTACCTTTGAGCCTCGATAATAAAAATCAGCATCAGTCATCAGGTCAGTATCATATTCAAGATGAGTGGCGTTATTCAGCTCACAGATATAAGTGATTCCTCCAGTCTCTGGCTCTTTTTTGAAGTTAGCACTGACACAGTTGTCGTTCATGTAGCAGAAAAGTTCACAGTGGTCCAAGTCTTTGACGTGTTTAGTTTCGACTACATGGTTTACCAAACGTCTTTCAGCAAAGAAGAAGTAATCTGGAAACACCATTGTGCGATCTCGCTCTGAAATAAAGCAATCAAAATATAGTTAGAAAACAATTTTTTTCTTTTCATACAGAAATAGACTCACGATTCGAGTTATTAAGCGTGCAAAATAACACGCTTGGTGAACAAAGAACTGTGATCTCAGTTAAACCATCACTACGAAAAAAAGGAAAAAAATTGATGCTACCTTCATTTGTTGACTTTTGTCTTTCTTTGAACATAAGTATCTAGGACAATTTTCCAAGTTTCAATTCCGCGATCAGAGATTTCCTCATGATTTGAGCGGAGACTTCTATTTCGATAAAGTAGGTTAACACATAAAATGCTTGCGTAAAAGACAAATTTGAATAAGGTTTATAATTGTTTTTTGATCACGCTGTGCCCGCTCTTATATCACAATTTCGGAATATTTTGTATAATAAGGCACTAGATAATTACACCCCGCCCCCTTCTCCACTGAGAAAAACTTTCAAAACAAAAGAGAAACGAAAACCAAAAATTGGTTGCAGCGACCATCACTTTTCTTTTGTGAAGACACAAGGCTTTTAGAGAGAGGGTTCGGTCTCTCTATTTTCCGCAGCAATATTATTTTAGGGGAGATAGGACAAAATCCGTAAAGAATACGATCCGTCAATCTTTTACTGTTGCTGTAATTTATCATAATTTTGAATATTTTGTGTAATAGGGCACAAGGTAATTAACCCCAGCCCTCCCTCCCTCCCAAAGTTTAAAACAAAAGTAAAACAAAAACAAAAATTAGCAGCAGCGACCATCACTTGTGAAGAAAAGATGTTTATAGAGCATTTCGTGTCTTCTTGTTTCCCCTGAACGATATTATTTTAGCGGAGATAGAACAAAAGCCGTTTAATAAGGGCTATACGCAAATTTTTCTCAAGTTCCTTCTCTAATTCATGATCGATAAGTCATGAAAAAAAATCATTTTTCTTTATAAACCTTTTCACTTTCTTCATCACACAGGTCCTTGAAATTCAGAGTTTCTTACTCGAGTTTAAACGATCGCCTTTGGTTATTTGGATCGATTATCACAGAAGAGGAAATTTATGCTAATTTTCATTAAGACGGGCTATCGTTGTCAGGCATCACGCAGGAGATTCATATACGGGTTCAAGATGTTTCTATCGATAAATTCAGTATACATTAGGAAATTTGACTTTTTCCTGTAAAATAGTAAATTTAAATGAAGAAAGTCAAACACTATATTTCTCAAACAAAAAATATCGAAAGTACCAACAATTTAACGGTAGTCATGCCACCTGTTTTTGAGGTGAGTGCCTTTAAACTAATCCTTAAATATATTTTTGCTGACCTGGACTTTCTCTGAGACTTGCACAATATTCGATTTTAGCTTTTGATAAACAAGCTATGTTCATGGACGAATATACAACAAAACATTGTAGGCATTCTTTAACATATGTCAGCTCTGTTCTCTTGTAAACGAAGTAATTTGTATTTGCCAAAGTTTTTTGTCGTTTTGCATCTCATATCCAATTTTCTGAATAAAGAAAAGATAAAACATTTTTGTTAAATACCTTTTGATTTTTCAAAAACGAGTTACAATCTTGGGTGGATGTTCAATGTCGGTTTTTTACTTAGTCTTTGCTAATTATTGTAACTTAAAGTCTTTTTGTATCAGTAAAAAAGAATAAAGGAGATATATAAATAAGGTTGCACTCATAAGTGAATCGAAGGATAAAAAATGATTCGCCGTCTGCGACTCACCTTTTCCAAAAGTGAAGTTAGTCAATAATGCATTCCAGGCTATGAACATGAAAAATGAAATAAATTCCATGCCTTCTTCAAGGTAACGGTTTTCTGTTTCTATCACGCGCGTATGGCACAAGTTTTAAGTTGATCGCCAGCTCCCAGCAGTGGATTAAGCTTCCCAAATCGACCTGTCGTTATGAACGAAACTGTATTATGAAAATAAATTTTAAAAAAAGGCCTGTAGCTGTCGGTTCTATGTGGACATTAATGCAAATGACGGCGCACTTTTACCAGAATTAACAATTCATTTCTCCCCTATTACTTAACATAGTAAATGTTTTGTTCAAGATGACAGACAAGGCAGATAACAGAAGCTTTTTATGTCTTTTTATGAGCCACAAAATGACGTCTTTAATAAATTATCTCATATATTTTTCCAGCTTGCCTAATTCTTCGGTGGAATTTGCTCGAATTTTCAAGTTACGCTCATAATTGTTTAAGTTCTTATTAGATGTGATATGCCACGGAAAAATAGCTCAATATTTCGAACTTCAATTTAATTAAAGAAATAAAACGTTGGGAAAATTGTGTGATCCACATTTCTAGTCCTCGATTCTCAATTGTTTAAATTTGCAAATGTATTTGTCTCGATGCACGAATGGTTCAATTTCCGAAATTGAAAACTGTCAAACAATCTTTAGAACTTATGCACGGAGGAACATTTTTCATTTGTCGTTACATATTTGTTTTGTATCTGAGGCGAAGAAATGTACATAAATTCAAGAAAAAGTTCCAGTAAAGAATAGTGAAATTGTTTCAAAGACAGCTTTCAAGACATGGGGTTTTGCCTAAGTTAAGAGGCTTGCATTTTTCAGGGAACTTATTCAGCGTCGCTCTTGAGGCCCTGTTTACTATTCAAGTTGTAATCAGATAGTTATCTTTTAACTGTTGACTAGTCTCATTCGCGTTTTCAACGAAATAGGGAAGACTTCATCTAGGCAGGCGATAAATTAAATCGTGCTATTTTTTGAAATTACGAATAGAAACACCTGGTTTGAAGCCAAAACGATTATTTATTTTAGGTAAGAACTTCCATGTAAAAACTACGCAAATATCATTACAATCTCAATTCTGCAATAAGCGTAATTTTTAGCCGATAACGTTGACAAATTATCATTATGAAACATCATATTCGGTCTAAAGTAGCTTTTAAAGGTTGTTTAAGAAGATTTCCTTCAAGTTCTCAAATAATCTAGTGTTTATCTAAGTAAACTCCACCGTGTGCTAATAAAGGATCGCTAATGAAAATGTTACAAGAAAAGAATGTCTTTGACAAGGAAATATTGCCAGCCTCAAGAAACGTCAAGCCTTCCATTGCATAAGCTACACTTAACGCTCTAAACATACAATGACACTCTTATGTTTGTATCAATCAAAAGGGTCCCACTTATGGTGTATGCAACTTCCTGAAGATAAGTAGGGGCTGAAGAAATTTGTACGGGCAGGGAAAACTGCATTTTTTTTTTCCTTTTTGCCTTAAGAAATGTTGCACTTGTTTGTGGTTTTGAAAGTTAGTTCTTTAATTAAGAAAGGACTTTCATCAACCTGTCGCGTAATTTTAATTTAAAAACTTGCTCTGGCCTCGAGGACGTCTTCCAGCAAATACTGACGATTCGTGTTTGAATTTATCTATCAAAGTTTATGCAGCTCCATCTTGCGCGAAAGCCACAATGACCATAATTCACGGACTTCAAGCACATGCAATACAAACGAGTTGCTCGAACCTCTGGGGCTTCAGAGCTACAGTACAAATTCAAGTTGACAATGAGGACAAACAGATGAAACAAAATGCGATGTAAATTTAAGCTGATATGCCAAATCCTTAAATTTTGTTTGCTAAATATTTTTTTAGCATGACAGTTTTTAATGAGTCGTCGACACTGTAGTTCAAATAAATTAATGGCGCTGTAAATATGATTTTTTTTTTCGTCATACACAGTTTCTTGAAACTTATTACTCATAGTTAATTGCATTGTCTACTGACTTTTCCCAAGAAACGTCAAAGAAACAAGTAACAATGGCTCCAAATTATTTCAAAAGTTCCTATTCTTATAAAATCGTTCGTTCCTCTTCCCACGGCTTCGTTACTAGAAGTTAGAAAAAAAGGACAACGTTTACCGTCCGTATGATAAAATCATCCCGATAATTTGTGCGCGATGAAACATTTAGCGGGCTTCACCCACTCAGTAGGAGTTTTAAAACATAGTTTAGGCGCACTTTTACCAGAATAAACAATACATTTATCCCCTATTATTTAACATAGTAAATGTTTTGTTCAAGAAAATAAAATTTAAGGATAATGATCTTGTTTCTCTCAAGTAGCTGAAGATGTTTTCTCGCCAAGTGTTTGTGATCCCCACATTTGGAAGCTCGGTAAATTTCATTTTCGTTTTATTTTAACTTCACAGAAATAGGAGTTAAGGCTGAATATCAAATCTTACCATGGGGTGAAAGTGAAAGTCAAGTTTTTCATGCAGTAAGTACAGTCATCTCCTACCTTCCAAGATCCAACGTTCTTTGGTGCCCAACACTAGACTAATTTAGCCAGACGCGTTTTCTTTTATTACTGTCTGGTAGCTATGGTTACGATAGAAATTGTTGGTTTCAAGCCAAGATGTACATTAATGTTAGAAATGAGCTTACCTCTTCCTGTTTGGGCTCTTTGCGCAAAAAGCTAAATTGGTGAAATAATACGCGGTGAAGAATTTAAGTTAGTGCAACGGATTGACTGAAGTGATGCGTCTTTTCATGTGGCAAACAATAGCGCCGTATCCATTCGGCTGTTGGTTGCAAACATTCAAAATGGATTTTTTTTTCTCTTGGTATCACGTCCGGTTCTAACAAATTACAAGATTCCAGGCTTTATTTTCTTGTTATCTATTAGGTAATATAGGAATTTGCATCAACTTTAAACTCTGTGAAAAATGTAGCAACACAGATCTTAGGGGCAAGTATCTTACTGTACCACCCACTTCACTACATCGAGCGAAATATTTTCCCGTTTGGTCCTCCTACTTACTCTAAACAGTACATGTGCGCAATAATTTAAGGATGGCTTTCCTATTTGAAAACCCTGTGTAATTAGTCATTTTGTCTTCCCCCGCATTCATTAACGTCCAAATTAATTAATGATGAGTTCTAATAACCTCTTTGCCATAATTTGAACGGAATTCAAACGAGCTGCATTTAAGTCTAAGTTGAGGTATAGGACAAAACGATTTGTGAAAGGAAATCTTTGTAAATACAGAAAAAACTAGCCATAGTTTTTGGCAAGTTGGATGATTCAAATGCAAATTTTTTTCATTAACTTTATTTTTCTTTATTGTAAACTGAACCCAAACAGCGGGCTTCGTTATTTTATTTAATCCTCTCTCATCGCCTTATGGGATTTCCTGTCGCTTCCCGTTTCAAAATTTGTGACGTGCTTGGAACATTTATAATTTGGTATTTTTCTCTATTTACGATAGCGATCGAACTACAATTTCTAAAACAGGTGTCATTATAACATAAACAAATATCGCTGAGGAAAGGTTCAAGAAGTAAACCTGTTGTAGGAAAATAAATATTGTGGAGAATCATCATGTTTATTTCAGTAGCTGAAGATGTTTCCTCGCCAAATGTTTGTGATACCCACATTTGGAAGCTCAGTAAATTTAATTTTCGTTTTATTTCAACTACACAGAAATAGAAGAGTTAAGGTGGATATCATTTCTTATCATGGGTGAAGGTCAAACTCAAGTTTTCCATGCATTAAGTACAGTCATCTCTTACCTTCTACCTTAGCCAAATGTGTTTTCTTTTATTACTGTCTGGTAACTATGGTTACGATCGAAACTGTTGGTCTCAAGCTACGATGATCATTAATATTAAAAATAACCTTCCTTCTTCTTCTTTGGGCTCTTTGCCCAAAAACTTAAATTGGTAAAATAATACGCGGTGAAGAATTTAACCAAATGCAACGGACTGACTGGACTAATGCGTCATGGACTGTAAAATGTTATTATTAATTTCTTGAAAGTGTCGCTCGTCACGTCAGGTGGAAGAGGCATTATAATTATAGATCGTTTTTTTAGTAATTCATACCAAACAAACGCAATGCAGGTGAATTTGAGAGAACAAAAAGACGGACTCCAATAAGAATTCAAGGCAAGTCCTGTAAAAATGGTTTTGAGAATCACACAAACACAGAAAAAGAGGAGAATTCACTTCTAAGTACTTCTTAGCTTGATGAATTTTACTTAATCGATTACAGTCTATCAATATAGTTAATCTATGATAATGAGATTGGAAAGACAGAATTTTTTTTTGTAATCCATAATTTTCTAAAACGTGTTTAGTTAAACAAGCCCACTAGAGACTGGGGCTGCACACTGCGGCAGACCCGACGACCCAACATACACCAGGGTAGTTGGGATCCAAATATAGAAACTTCTTTACTTATTTAGTGTAGAGCCAGTAAAATCATTGTGTTTTCGCTAAAAATTTGGGTTGAAATGGCCGTGACCAAAAGTTGTACTTGCAAGGCTTGAAATTTTGAGGACTTTGTTACTCCGACCGATTTATTAATAAAGTTTTCATAATGAGACATACACGCCGGGGGTGTACTGTGTGATTATAAAGGACCTCTCTGCGTCTCTGCTATGATTTGTGATTCCTGCAGTCTTGACCGCTCAACACGGAAAGTATGTTCAATCGAGAGTTGAGAAATTTATTTCGCTATCATTTACTCTCCAAAATACATTTTGAATTTCTTTAACTATCAAATAAACTATCAAAAGATGTAAAGCAGTGCGCTGTTTAAAATTTCCTCGATTGACCGACCAGAAACCTTAAAGAGGTTGACAAATTAATGATGAATTTCTCTCCTGAGAAATGTAAAAAATTAGAAAAAAAGTTTCAAACTTTTCCATTAGCATGTTTTTCAATAGTAGTAAAGTGTGTTGGGTTATTTTGAATGCCCCATACAAAGCTCCTTTCTTCTTTTCTGCAAAATTTTAGGTTTCGCTATGGTAAACAATAGCGCCGTATCAATTCGGCTGTCGATTGCAACTTATCAATTTTTTTTTTCTTAGTATCATGTCCGGTTCTAGCAAATTGCTAGATTCCAGGCTTTTTTTCCTGTTA